TTACTAAACATATTACTTATTCTCCAGTATTTTTTATACTGAAGAATATATCATGATTTCACTCTTGGTCAGTACACATGGCTACATTCCTTGTAATGGCTGTGTGATATCCACCATGGATTTACCAAAAATTATTTAACCATTCCCTATTGAGGGATATTTAGTGGCTTCTGGTTTCCTGCTTGCATAAACAATGTTGCGCTAAAAATCCTTTTTAGGGGCACCTGGGTGGCTCAGTTGGTTGGACATCCAAATTCAGCTCAGGTCATGATCTCATAGTTCTGGCCCCACGTCGGGCTCTGTGCTGACAGCTCAGAGCCCGGAGCCGGCTTTGAAGTCTGTGTCTCCCTCTCTCTCTGCCCATCCCCTGCTCATGCTCTCTCCCTCTCTCTCTCACTGCCTCTCTCTCTCAAAAATAAATATTTAAAAAAAAATCCTTTTTAGAGTTCCTTACGTTACAGTATTTTATTTCCACTCTCTCCAAATGTGGGATTGCTAGGTTAAAGGGTAAGCATATATATATTTTTTAATTTAGTAGATATTAACACACTACTTCCCTAAAATTTGGTGACAACGCATTTTCCTGTCACTAGTGGAAAAGCAAAAGTGGAGAGCACCTTTGACCACTCACACCCTTGGCAGCAAGGAACATCACCACTGTTGTCCTGTTAGTCTTGTGGGGGAAAATGACATTTTATTGTTGTTTTATTTTCTATTTCCCTAGCTTCTTAGTGAGGTTGGACATTTTATATGTTGATTGGTGATTTAAGTGTTTCTTCTGTGACCTGCCTGTTCAAATCTTCTGTTTATTTTTCTGTGAGGTTGCCTTTTTTGTCATTAATTTTTAGGCGTTTTTTTAAATTACATATTAAACACATTAAGCCTTAATATATGACATGACTATCCCCATATCCCTTTGTGCAGTTTCTGTTGACTTTGGTATGTTTTGCCCCACATAATTTGTTATTAAAATTTTTTTTTCTTTTTTTAATGCTTACTTATTTATTTTGAGAGAGAGAGAGAGGATGAGCAGGGGAGGGGCAGAGACAGAGGGAGAGAGAGAATCCCAAGCGGGCTCCACGCTGTCAGCACAGAGCCAGATGTGGGGCTCGATCTCACAAATAGTGAGATCATTACCTGAGCCGAAATCAAGAGTTGGACGCTTAACTAACTGAGCCACCCAGGTGCCCCCCTCCATATACTTTAAAAAAATTTTTTATATAATCAAATATGTCTTTTTTTTCCTTTATGACTTCTGGATTTCTTGTCAACCTGTGGACTCCCCAACTTCAGATTATATAGATTGTTTGCTTCTTAATTGTCTTTTTCTCTTCTCATTGGGTTTTTAGGAATCTTTTTTCCTTTGTGTTATATACAGAGTCCTTTCGCTTGTTTGTTTGGTCTCTTCCAAATGGATAACAAATTATGATGGTAACATTTATTAAATAAGCATTCTTTCTCCACTAAATTGAAATACCAAAGTGCCGAAGAAAAAAAAATCGTGTACTACTTGGACTGTGTCTGTCCTCTCTGTTCTTTCCATGACTATATTTTGTTTACTCTTGTATTAATAGCTTGTTTTGAAGGCAGGTCTCCCTTCACCTCTTTTTCAACATTTGTTTGATTATCCTTGGATATTTGCTCTGCAAGTTTAAAACTACTATTGGGCTTAAAATGAGAATTATATTACACATAAATATAGTTGAAGAGGGAAAGATATTTCTTTTTTTTTTTTTAATTTTTTTTTCAACGTTTTTTTATTTATTTTTGGGACAGAGAGAGACAGAGCATGAACAGGGGAGGGGCAGAGAGAGAGGGAGACACAGAATCGGAAACAGGCTCCAGGCTCCAAGCCATCAGCCCAGAGCCTGACGCGGGGCTCGAACTCATGGACCGCGAGATCGTGACCTGGCTGAAGTCGGACGCTTAACCAACTGCGCCACCCAGGCGCCCCGAGGGAAAGATATTTCTATATTAATTGTTCTCTTTTAGTAACATGGTATCTCTCTAATTATACCATGTTTTCTGTTTTTCAATAAAATTTTATAGTATTTTACATATTCTACATATAGATTTTATACTTTCATTGTTCAATTTATTCCTACATATTTTATAATTTTATATTCACATTATAAATGAATTCTACTTCTTATTCTAAGTGGTTATTTCTAGTTTACGCAAAAGTTATTGAATTATGCATGGCTATCTTCTTTTTTTTTTAGTATTTTTAACTGTTTATTTATTTTTGAGGGGGGGAGGGGCAGAGAAAGAGGGAGACGTAGAATCCAAAGCAGGCTCCAGGCTCCGAGCTGTCAGCACAGAGCCTGATGTGGGGCTCGAACCCACAAACTGTCGGATCATGACCTGAGCCGAAGTTGGATGCTTAACCGACTGAGCCACCCAGGTGCCCCTGCGTGGCTATCTTAGATCCACGCACCTTCCCAAATACTCATTACTCTAACCATCTCTGGGTTATTAGACATACATTCTATGTATTTGTTTCTGCAAACTGAAAAAAAGTCACAAATTCTCTATTACTTACACAGATTTTTTCATTATCTTGTAGCTAAAACCTCTAAAATAAATTTGAATGACAAAGGTAGCAAGCACCAATATCTTATGAATGTAATGGAAATGTCTTCAATATTTCACACTGTAAGCTGGTGTTTGCTGTTGGATGTTAGTAAAGGTGTTTATCATCGGGGCCGCCATCTTAGATGTCAAGATGTAGTACACAGTGGCTCCACATCTAAGAGGAGTTTGTTTTCTCCCAGTGTGCTAGAAAAGTTTAAAGTATCCGTTCCTAGAAAGTCAAAGATACAAAACAGTCTGGACCAGTGCCTTTTTTAGAGATAGATTTCAAAAGATCTTACCAATTTCATCTAATATTTTATTGTCCTGTTTAGTTTTTTTTTTTTTTTTTTTTTTTTTTTTTTTTTTTTTTTTTTTTTTTTTTATGTTTACTTATTTTTGAGAGAGGGACAGAGACAGAGTGTGAGCGGGAAAGGGGCAGAGAGAGAGAGGGAGACACAGAATCTGAAGCAGGCTCCAGGCTCTGAGCTGTCAGCACAGAGTCCGACGCGGGGCCCTAACTCATGAACCATGAGATCATGACCTGAGCCGAAGTCGGACGCTCAACCGACTGAGCCACCCAGGTGCCCCAATCCTGTTTAGGTTTTCTAATTCGTCTTGGGTCAAATCTGGTAGTCTATATTTGGCAAGAAAAAAATCCTTATTTCTTAAAGATTTTTAAGTATATTATGATATATTAAAATTTAACAATCTGTCCTAATTTTAAAATAATATCTGTATCTATGATTAATTTTTTTCTTATTCTGAAGGTTGTGTATTTTGTTTTTTCTCAGGTTTGCAATGGTTTATCTCTTTTATTTTATTTTCTTTAAAGAACCAGCTTTTCATTTCATTATAATTTCTTCTATTTTTTATTCATTTCAGTTTCTTACTTCTCCTATATTCACAGAAAAGTGAAGTTCACATTGATATCCCAATTAGATAGCTGGCTATATACTGTCCTAAGGAAGGGAAGTGAATTGCCGTAGTTCACAAAGATTTTTCAACAAAATGGTTACCACCAAAAAGATTTTAAAAATTCACCTTTTACTTTAGTGTCCTAGAATAGCCAAATCCTTATCACACTCCATTAACTTTTGTTCATATACACTGCTCTCAAATGTATGTGTTTTTAATAAGTGAAGAAAAGACAGGGGAAAACTAAACTAATCACTGAGCCTTCAAAATCTAACAAAGAAGTAAAATTCATGTCTTCACTCATAAAGTTAGGAAAAAGAAATGACAGGGGCACCTGGCTGGCTCAGTCAGTTAAGCACCCGACTCTTGATTTTGGTTCAGGTCATGAGTCCGGCATCAGGTTCTGTGCTGACAATGTGGAGCCTGCTTGAGATTCTCTCTCTCCATTTCTCTCTCTACCCCCTCTCCCTCTCTCTCTTTCACTCTCATAAATAAATAAATAAATAAACTTAAAAAAAAAAAAAAAAGGTGCCTGGGTGGCTCAGTTGGTTAAGCGCCCAACTTTCGCTCAGGTCATGATCTCACAGTTTGTGAGGCCTCATGCTGATAGCATGGAGCTCACTTTGAATCCTCAATTCTTTCTCTGTCCCTCACTCTGTATTGTGTTACTGCAGCTCTCTCAAAAGTAAATAAACATGAAAATAAAAATTTTTTTTTTTTTAAAGGATTTATTTATTTTTTTGGGATGAAAAGAACAGAGCATGAATGGCGAGGGGCAGAGGGAGACACAGGGCTCGGGAAACGGCTCCAGGCTCCCCATCAGCCCAGAGCCCGACATGGGCTTTCGAACTCACGGACACATGGTCGTGACCTGGCTGAGGCCGGACGCTTAACCGACTAAATACCCAAGCGAAAATAAAATTTTATAAAACAAAAAAGAAAAGAAAAATGATAGAGGAATATGGGAAAGAAATCTTGCCTATTCTTGTTTATTCAGCACATGGAACTTGAGATCAGATAGCTAGCATTCTAGTGTATGGAATGGTGTTTCCTACATGAATGTGTCCATATTTAAAATCTCATGCTCAGGGTGCCTGGATAGCTCAGTTGGTTGAGTGTCCAGCTTCAGCTCAGGTCATGATCTCACAGTTTGTGAGTTCGAGCCCCGCATTGGGCTCTGTGCTGACAGCTCAGAGCCTGGAGCCTGTTTCGGATTCTGTGTCTCCCTCTCTCTCTGCTCCTCCCCAGCTCGTGCTCTCTCTCTCTCTCTCTTCCAAAAATAAATGAACATTAAAAAAATTTTTTTTAAATCTCATGCTCAAGCTTAAAGACTGAATTCTGCAGTTCTGGTGGCCCTTCAGGGAAGAATACTTACAATGGAAACAAAATGGAACAGGCCTAAAGGGAATGAGAAGATTATTTCCAAGAGATATGAATGTGTAGAAAACATCTACAGTATCTGAACTGTTTTGCTTTTCATATCATGCTTACAAATACACTGAGACATTGACCTGTAAGATGTAGAGTATGACGACCGTCAGTCCGACCCAGCTGTGTAGACTGTACATGTTGGGGATATTCTTGGCATTGTGGAAATCAAAAACAGCCACCAGAGAGATAATTGCAAGAATGGCAGCAACAGCGTGTAAACCTGCATGGATGGATTTCATCAGGAGCTTGCTGCATTTCCAGGTCCATGGCAGTCTGTATACGATGATGGCTAGAAAGAAGCAAAAGGGGACAGAACGTGGCATTGTTGTTTTTAATTAACACAAGTTGAACAGTTTGACGCGCCGAACACTCCCTTCCATGAAACCCTTTTCACCTGGCTTCTGCTTCTCCCCTCTTCCCTGCCTCTCAGGGGTTCATTCTTGGGCTCTTTTGCCATCATCTTCTTTATTTCTGACTTATGAACAAACTCTGGTGGCTCTCAGGGTCAATTCTAAGACTTTTTCCTCCCTCTACACTCTCTGTGGGTGATCTCATTCACTCCTTCACTGAGATGCTACCTACATGGCAGGGACTCCCAAATTCTCATCTCCAGTTCATACCTTTTTAAAGTAGGCTCCATGCCCAGCATGGAGGCCAACATGGGGCTTGAACTCACAATGCCGAGATCAACACCTGAGCTGAGATCAAGAGTCAGACGCTTAACCAACTGAGCCACCCAGGAACCCCTTAAGCCCAGAACTTTCTTCTTACCTCCAGACCCACAAAATCCAACAGCTTCTTTACATCTCTATAGAGGTGCCTCCAAATATCTCAAACTCAACACATCCAAAACCAAATTATTAATCTTATGACCTGGTTTCCTCATATAGTCATAGTTTGATAAGAAAAGACAGACTAAGGATTATATATATATATATATATATATATGCACAAAGATTTAACCGAACAAAAGAGTATATCCACATATTTTACAGAAAGGTATATCCAAATATAGATAAACATAAGAAAGATGTCAACTTCACTAGTCAACAGAGAAATGCAAATTAAAATCAAATGAGAATATGTCTACCACATATCTGAATGGCTAAACATGAAAAATGCCAAGTATTGCAGAGGATGTAAAGCAATCACAGCTCTCATGTTCTGCTGATGGGAGTTTAAATGGGAACAAACACTCTGGCAAACTAGCAGTATTCACTCAAGCTAAACTTATGCATAACTTATGATCCAGCAATTCTACTCCTGGGTATATGCTCCAAAGGAATATGTACATATGTTCACCAAAAGACATGCACTAGAATATTATTAGCATCACTATTTGTAGTGGCCCCAAACTAGAAACTCCCCAAATGCCCATCATTAACAGAATGAATAAATAAACTGTGATATATTTACATCATGGAATAATACACAGCAAAGAGAATGATCTATAACTAGAACATCACCCAATGATATGGATCAACCTATAATGTGGGTGCCAAGAAACCAGACATAAACAGTTATAGACTGTATGGATTCAATTTATACGAACTATAAAAACAGGCAAAACTCATCTCTGCAATAAGAAAAGTCAGGATAATGGTTACCCTTGTGAGGAAGTGGTATAGTAACTGAAAAGGAACATGCAAGAGATTTCTAGCTTTCTGCTAATGTTCTGTTTCTCAGTCTGAATGCTGGTTACATAGGTGTTCACGGAGGGAAGATTTCACCAAGCTATACACCATATGTACATTTTTCTGCACGTAGATTAAACTTCAACAAAAACATTTTTGAATAGCATCTTTTTTAAATGTGCTGGTTTAAGCAATAGATTACATAGCCATGTTAAGCAGCATGCAATTTTTGTTCTGAAGACAATATCCTGCCCCTACCCACCCTCATTCTCACCCCTCCAGTCCATGTCAGGAAAACTTTAGAGGTCTGAAAATGTATGACAGGTGGATAAAGTCTGAAGAATACTTCCTCTGGAAGGTGGATTCCATTATAACAGCAGTGTATATCGCTTAGTTCCAGCACGGAAAAAAAAAAAAAAAAAAAAAAAAAAAAAAAAAAAAGCATATTCCCACTACAGACGTTTATAATTTAAATATATAGAACTTCATAGGATCACGGAAATTTATGGCATTATCTAGTCCATTCTCAGTCACAAAGGCATAAACCTACAAAGACAGATGTGGGTTCAGCCTCTTTAAAGCCTACAGCAAAAGATGTCAATCTTCGTATTCTTTGGTTCCATTCCTTAACACTTGACAGCCCTCACCATTAAGACAGTCTTCTTTTTATCTAGTCCAAACTCTGAAGGATTGCTACTTACTAATTTTAGTGCATATATGGATACCTTATAAATGTTGATCGATTATATTTCCTCGAGGACATGGAGACTTTTTGGATAATCATTTCTATATTCAATGAATCTTTTCAAGCCATTTAGTGCAGCCAGGTATACCAGTTGACCCTTAAACAACCTTAGGGGCAATGACCCCAACTAAGTTGAAAATCCACATATAACTTTTGACTCCCCCGAAACCTCACTACTAATAGCCTACTGTTCACTGGAAACCTTACTGATAACATAAACAGTTGATTAACACATATTTTGTATATGCATTATATACTGTATTCTTAGAAGGAAGTAAGCTAGAGAAAAGAAAATGTTAAGAAAATCATAAGGACAATACATTTACAGTACTGTCGTGTGTTTATCCAAAAAAAAAAAATCCACCCGTAAGTGGACCTGCACAGTTGAAACCCGTGTTGTTCAAGAGTCAACTGTACTTTTAAAATCTATCTCAATGTCCCTTCTCATCCTTACTTCATCCTCTCTGAAGGAGGGAGTGCATTTTGCTGTTTCTCCTTGTATCCTGAGCCTAGAACAGCCCTGGGCTCAAAGCATGTAGCTCCATAAGTATGATTTTTAACTCTTATTTTGAGATAATTGTAGATTTACATGCAAGTTGTAAGAAATAATACAGACAGATCCCATCTACTCCTCACACAGCTGATAACATCTGATATTACCAATGGTAACATCCTACATAACCATAGTACAACATCACGACTAAAAAACAGACATCAATATAATCCACTGACCTAATTCAGATTTCGCTAATTTTATTTGTGTGTGTGACTTTTGCGTGTTTTTTTAAATAAATGTAAGATACTTTCTTCAGGCTGATCAAAGTCTAGAAGTCAAACTGAAGTCAACTCAGACACATGGTTTCCCCTCCTTATGCTTCTTCTCCTTGGAATTAGTGGATATACATATCCCTATGTACATGTGATTCTCAAGTTTTCATATAAATCATATGAAACATATATGATTCTCAAGTTTTCAAGGAAAGCAAATGTCTCTTTACCCATGACTTTGTGACCTTTCATCCACACAGTGGAGCGTTTTGCAATCTGTGTGATCAGGCATTAGTAAAATAAAAATGTGGATAATATGAAAATCTAATAATACATCTCACCCTCTTCTGGGTTAACATGATTTATTACTTACACACACACACACACACACACATACACAACTGAACCCTTACACACCATGCTAAGTGCTCTATATGTTTACATCATAATTTTTACCTCAACTCTGTGAAGAAGGTATGATTACTATTACCATTATACAGAGGAGAAAGCTAAGGCAGAGAGATGTTAAGTAGCTTGCTTAATCTCAATTCACATTTTAAAAATAATTATTATTGTTGCTATCATCATCATCCTATCATCCAGGCACTGCCCTTATCTTAGATGAGGGAACTTGAACATCTATGTATGAAAAGGAAATACGTGGACTATGTTTGCTTGAAAAGCAAATTATGAACAATAAATCACAACAGCTTTTTCTCCCTGATCTGGATCCTGTTGTGTTAAAAATTTCCAAAATCAAAACTAACCTCTGATATTAGAACTCAGGAGTAATTATCATGACCGAGAGAAGTTACGATGGTTACCAGGAAGATTCTTGGGTGCCTGGGATGTTGTTTCACCATCTAGGTACGTGAGTGTGTTCATGTTATAAAAACATGTAACTTATGATTTAGGTACTTCTCTGCATGTGTGTGGTTCTTCAATAAAACACTTGCCTAAAAAAAAATGTTCAGTGAAGAATTTTTATTCTTCTAAATACTACAGGCATCATAGAGGAATGTGTTGAATTTCCTGCAAAACTAAAATCTTTGCTCCTTGAGTGTTAAAACTGGATTTTTGAACCTTGCACATTTACTCAAATGCTTTCAGACTGGTTGCACACAAGCTTTCCTTCTCTAGCAGTAGCATGAATGGACACAATGTAATCTTTTATTGATGATTTGGGGTTACCAATAAAACATACTGTCCTATTACCAGTGGAGAAAATCCTAAGGGGCTTCTAGAGCTGGAGAGGTGCTTCCCTCCCATCCGCATGAGCCCAGGCAGTTACGATGTTTCAGCCCCTGGGTCTAGTTTAGAGTTCTTCAATCTCCTCTTTTAGTTTCTTGCTTAGGTTAGGGTGCTTACCCTCTTCCATCATCCTGTATAATCTTTTCTTCCTACCACCCTTGAGTTCTAATTTATACCTTTTTATGTTGACAAAAATCAGAACCTCTGTTAAATCAGGGTGATGGATACATGGGGATGTTATGTTACTTTCCGTATGACTGAAAGAATTCTTACTATTTTTCAAGTTAAAACAATATTTTTGTAAGTTCACAAACCCAATAGCGAATTAATCTCAGCCACTAAGTCGGCAGCCCGCGGAAACTGGAGGGGGCTCTCATGTGAGGGAGGCCTGGAGTTTCTGCCTCTCCTGGGTATGTGGAAATTCTGCCAAATATAAATAGTTGACTATCATTCAGAGTGTTCTTTAGATAAATGAAGGATAACTGCAAAATGTTACATTTGCATAAAGTGTTTACATGTTTTTAAAGATGTATAAATAACAAAAATACGGTGGACTCCCAGAGAAAAGGGCAATCTTAACAAAGCAAACCACATTTCTTAAACAAGAAGCTACTCTCAACAGCTATAAAAACTGCCTAGAGAGCGGAATTTAAATATTTCTTGCTTTTTTGGCTTGGCATTTACCTAGACACCATTCCTGAGGTTCAGTGAGAAGGAAGAAAAACGTCTCATAAGCCCATGAGGAGGGGAAACGGCATCAAACGGCTACTTGCAACTGAAACAAGGGTTTTCTGTTAAGAGGCCTGAGTTGGCAAGACCATATCCTCGCAGAAAACGAAGGGAAACATGAACACGTATATATGTGAGAAATACATTTTAAATCTTCTTCAG